GTATAAAACATGATACAAAAAAAATTAATTGTACAACCACTTGAAATATCTTATAAAAAAAAGCTAAATAAAGTCCCATTGTATATTAATGCCATCTTATCGTATGTCTTGTTATGTATTTTTTTTAAATCGTCCTGTTTTATAATCTTGATATTAGTATGATCCACATTAGCAATCCTGGCAGACAAAATCCTGAATGTACACAACCCCCGCAAGTGTTGACATAACAGAAACAAGAGGCCCAAGAGGGCCTGTATCGCTCACCTGAATATTTCAGCAGTCATAGCAAAATATTCTCATTAAATATTATATTGCACTAAAAATATTTCCCTCGCAAACTTTGTTGGCTCCATCTGTTGAAACTACCAGCAAAATATTATTATAAGATTCTATGCTTTTTGATTCTTCTTCAGAAGTTGCTTGACATATTTTTCCCTGTGATCTTGTAAGTAGGTCAATGTCATTTTCCTTCTCAAATTGGTTAGCTCTATTCCAAAAAGCTACCAGCCAAATCTTATGAATCCATTCCTTTTAGTTCTCAAGAACAAATCCATTAAAATGTTGTTGACCTCTGTGACCTCTAAAGTAGGTTGAGGTCATTTTCATTTGCAAACTTTGGTGAGCTCTATCCCGGGAAGTCACCAGCCAAATATTATAATTTTATGCCTTTTAATTCTTCAGAAGAAGCTGTTTGAACTGTTTGACATATTTGAACGCTGTGACCTTGAAAGTAGGTCAAGGTCATTTTCATTCGCAAACTTTGTTTGGCTCTTTCCCAGGAAGCCACCTGCCAAATATTAAGATTTTATAACTACCAGTTCTTCAGAAGAAGTCGTTTAAAGTGTTTGACATATCTGCCTCATGTGACCTTAAAAGAAGGTCAAGGTCATTTTCATTCTCAAACTTTGTTCGGCTCTTTCCTAGGAAGCTACAAGCCAAATATAGAGATTATATACCTTTCAGTTCTTCAGAAGAAGTCGTTTGAAGTGTCTGACACATTTGACTCCTGTGACCTTGAAAGAAGGTCAAGGTCATTTTCATTCTCAAACTTTGTCGGGCTCTATCCAAGGAAGCCATCAATCAAAAATAAAGATTCTATACCTTTCAGTTCTTCAGAAGAAGTCATTTGAAGCTTTTGACATATATGACCCCTGTGACCTTGAAAGTAGGTCAAACTAGTTTTCATTCTCAAACTTTGTTGGGCTCTATCCCAGGAAGCCACCAGCCAAATATAAAGATTATATACCTTTCAGTTCTTCAGAAGAAGTCGTTTGAAGTGTTTGACACATTTGACCCCTGTGACCTTGAAAGAAGGTCAAGGTAATTTTCATTCTCAAACTTTGTTGGGCTCCATCCAAGGAAGCCATCAGCCAAATATGAAGATTCTATACCTTTTAATTCTTCAGAAGAAGTCGTTTGAAGTTTTTGACATATTTGACCCCTGTGACCTTGAAAGTAGGTCAAACTAATTTTCATTCTCAAACTTTGTTGGTCTCTATCCCAGGAAGCCACCAGCCAAATATAAAGATTCTATACCTTTCAGTTCTTCAGAAGAAGTCGTTTGAAGTGTTTGACACATTTGACCCCTGTGACCTTGAAAGTAGGTCAAGGTCATTTTCATTCTCAAACTTTGTTGGGCTCTATCCCAGGAAGCCATCAGCCAAATATGAAGATTCTATACCTTTTAGTTCTTTAGAAGAAGTCGTTTGAAGTTTTTGACATATTTGACCCCTGTGACCTTGAAAACAGGTCAAGGTCATTTTCGTTCTCAAACGTTGTAGGGCTCCTATCAACGAAGCTTTCAGCCAAATATCATGACTCTAGGTCTGTCCGTTCTTCAGAAGAAGTTGTTTAAAGGAAAAGTTGACGGACGAGGACGGATGGACGGACGGACCTACGAAATAAGGGTAATGTGACTTTTGAATTATGTGACAGGGGTGTTATGTGACTGCTAATTGTATGTGACTTTGTTAGTGATTCTAACAAATTAATGGTTATGTGACTCTCCCATAAAATTATGTGACGCACAACTAAAACACATAAAATCGGACAAAAATAACATAACAAATGGAATAATGTCATACTTAGGGTCACTTACTTTCTAATTATTGTAGCTAAGCAGTCACACAGCACTTATGAAAGTGTCCATGAAGTGTCACATAAAACATGTCCATGAAGTGTCACATAAAACATGTCCATGAAGTGTCACTTAAAACATGTCCATGAAGTGTCCCATTAAACATGTCCATAAGGTGTCACATAAAACATGTCCATAAAGCATCACATAAAACAGGTCCATGAAGTGTCACTTAAAACAGGTCCATGAAGTGTCACTTAAAACATGTCCATGAAGTGTCCCATTAAACATGTCCATACGGTGTCACATAAAACATGTCCATGCAGTGTCAACTAAAACATGTCCATGAAGTGTCACATAAAACATGTCCATGAAGTGTCACATAATTTTGGATTCATCAAGTTTATTAGCACATGAGAGTGTCACATAAAACATGTCCATGCAGTGTCACATAAAACATGTCCATGAAGTGTAACATAAAACATGTCCATGAAGTGTCACTTAAAAACAGGTCCATGAAGTGTCACTTAAAACAGGTCCATGAAGTGTCACTTAAAACATGTCCATGAAGTGTCCCATTAAACATGTCCATAAGGTGTCACATAAAACATGTCCATAAAGCGTCACATAAAACAGGTCCATGAAGTGTCACTTAAAAACAGGTCCATGAAGTGTCACTTAAAACAGGTCCATGAAGTGTGACTTAAAACATGTCCATGAAGTGTCCCATTAAACATGTCCATAAGGTGTCACATAAAACATGTCCATGAAGTGTCACGTAAAACATGTCCATGAAGTGTCACAAAAAACATGTCCATAAAGGGTCACATAAAACATGTCCATGAAGTGTCACTTAAAACATGTCCATGAAGTGTCACAAAAAACATGTCAAATGAAGTGTCACATAAACCATGTCCATGAAGTGTCACATAATTTTGGATTCATCAAGTTTATTAGCACATGAGAGTGTCACATAAAACATGTCCATGAAGTGTCACGTAAAACATGTCCATGAAGTGTCACAAAAAACATGTCAAATGAAGTGTCACATAAACCATGTCCATGAAGTGTCACATAAAACATGACCATGAAGTGTCACATAAAACATGTCCATGAAGTGTCACAAAAAACATGTCAAATGAAGTGTCACATAAAACATGTCCATGAAGTGTCACGTAAAACATGTCCATGAAGTGTCACAAAAAACATGTCAAATGAAGTGTCACATAAAACATGTCCATGAAGTGACACAAAAAACATGTCCATAAAGTGTCACATAAACATGTCCATGAAGTGTCACATAAAACATGTCCATAAGGTGTCACATAAAACATGTCCATAAAGCGTCACATAAAACAGTTCCATGAAGTGTCACTTAAAAACAGGTCCATGAAGTGTCACTTAAAACAGGTCCATGAAGTGTCACTTAAAAACTTGTCCATGAAGTGTCACTTAAAACAGGTCCATGAAGTGTCACTTAAAACATGTCCATAAAGTGTCACATAAAACATGTCCATGAAGTGTCACATAAAACATGTCCATGAAGTGTCACATAATTTTTGGATTCATCAAGTTAATTAGAACATGGGAGTGTCACATAAAACATGTCCATGAAGTGTCACATAAAACATGTCCATAAGGTGTCACATAAAACATGTCCATGAAGTGTCACATAATTTTTGGATTCATCAAGTTAATTAGCACATGAGAGTGTCACATAAAACATGTCCATGAAGTGTCACATAAAACATGTCCATGAAGTGTTATATAAAACATGTCCATGAAGTGTCACATAAAACATGTCCATGAAGTGTCACTTAAAACATGTCCATGAAGTTTCACATAACTTTTGGATTCATAAAGTGAAGCAGTCACATAGTAGATGCGAAAGTGTCGCATACTTTTTGGATGCAATACTTGTCTTGTAGTAAGTAGTCACATAGCACATGGGAAAGTGCTACATATACCTTGTCCATAAAGAGTCCAGTCAGTTGTCTTTCTCTGGTGTTGTCATAGCTGTGTCCTTGTGCCAGGGTAATTAGTTACACATGGTTCATACAAACTGTTTACCTCAAAATTTAAGTGGTTTTTTTTTAATATTAAGACAATATTGAGAAATAGAAGAAACAATATTCGAAAGTAAATCAGGAAACAAACATCAGTACAGATTTTCCAGCAAATAAATATGTATTGAGGAGAATCTTTACAAAACAAAAAAATAAAATTTACACACAGTAAAACAAGCATTTAGGATTTTCAAGAGGTTTTCAAGAAATACATCAAATAAAAGTTTTTTTCAAGACTTGTATGAACCATGTTTCATTAAAAAACATCAGCCACATTCGATTGCTTAACTTATTCACGCCAATAGTTTTGGAGTGGGCTTGCCCAGTCTGATTTGGTAAGACTAAAATGTGGCTTCAGGGGTGAATTAAGACTCAAATGTGGCTTCATGGGTGAATAAGTTAAGTTGTTGTAAACAAGAATGTCAACAAACAATATCTGTAACATTTAAGTCTTTTATTGATTGTTATAAGTAGGTCCAATACATTGTAGGACATTGTAATATATGTTTTAGAAATTTCAATGCTGTGTTGAAGTATCATAGTTATGCTCTTTATCTTAAGAGAAATAAAACAATGTTTGTATCCATGTACGTCAGGATTAAAGTATTGGATATTCACAACTGAAATGCATTATGCAACAAAAGTGTGTTCTTAAGAGAAGTTATGACATAGACTGAGTGCCTGCAATTTATACTCCATCAAAATAAACTGTAGTACAAAAGTGGATGCATAAAACATCTTACCGAGTTACTAGTATAAAGCATCTATACAACCACTGGCTTCTGGTGACATTAAAAAAACAGTCACCACAGGTTTTTTTTTTTTTTTTTTTTTTTTTTTNTTTTTTTTTTTTTCAGTTTTAGTATTGCAACAGGAAAACAGGATCAAAGATCAATTAAAGTATAATTGTTTTTAAAATCGTAAATAGCTATGATTCAACAGATCAAATTAAACAAGAAGTCCACGGAACTGAATGTGTTGCCTGAAAAGCAATCTGAAGCAGGCACTTGCGGTAAGGAAGCACTACATAAAGTTTGAGTTTGATCGGCCCAAGGGAACTCTAGTTATCGCGCGAAAACAGATCTTCTATTTATAGTAACAGTGACCTTGACCTTTGGACCTGAAAAGCAATTTGAAGGAAGCACTTGCGGTAAGGAACAACTACATGAAGTTTGAGTTTAATTGACCCAAGGGAACTCAAGTTATCGTGCGAAAACCATTTCCGGACGCCGCCAACACCGACATAGTAATACCTATATGTCGCCTGAACAAAAACATTCATGAGGCAAGTTCCATAAAATTGTTTATCAAAACCACATCCATATATAAGGTACAGTATTAACTACAAACATGAATCTCGGAACAACAAAAAGCACTGTAACTTAATTATAAAACACTAAAGCACATGGCATCTGAAAGTCTAAGTAAAATCCTTCCTCCCCAACATTTTAAACATTCGCCTCACCAAAATAAATGTAACACATTTTATGCACAGGGCAATATTTGTCAATATTCCTTACAGAAATATCAAATGGCATTATTTTTACTTATGCTACTGATTTTTATTTGTACCTTAGGTTAATTTCTTAAATGAAATTCAATCTTTTCAATTACATGTATGTGTAAAGCACTTTTATGCATGGAGAAATCTTCTGCAACAATGTGTGGAACAAATCCATATGGTATTAAAAAAATGTCATATTGCCGAAAAAATATCTGCATTGCATTCTTACGCATACAATATTTGTCTCCATCGAGCAATATTCTTCAATCTTTCTCATACAATAAACTAACCCACAAGATATTTATGTATGGAACAATATTTTCATACAAAAACAAATCCATTTGGCAGTAAAAATATGTTAAATTTCAGAACTAAATAGCTGCATGGCTTTCTTTGACTCGAATAGCCTTAAAATGCTTTTTCATTCAAAACTGAACTTACAAGGTACAGTACTGTGTATATGAAGTAGACATGTCATATCTTAGAATATAAGATCACTACAATATGCACGGGACAGCTGAAAGTCTGAGGAGAATGTTTTTCTTCAAAGTTTCTTACATTGGAAGCAGAATATTTCTGCATGAAACAATATCCTTCATTTTTTCTGTTTTCAGTAACAACTGTGCACTTGGGTTTGCATTTATTTTGCATGATTCATGTTGGAGATTTTTTTTATGATGAGATGGTTAGCTCTCTGATGCAGGAGTCCCCCATTCATGAATTTTTTTCTTTATAGTGTCAATGTATGCTCTCTTTGGCGTAGTGCCAGATTTCAAGAATTCAGCGAAATATTTTTTCAACTCCTTGACTTCTTCAATTGACCAGTATTTCCTCACACTTTTGCTCTTCTTCCTTTTCGGGACTTCTGCTTCCCAGAGCTCTTCTTCCTCATCTTTCTCCTCATCAAGCTGCTTTGTAGCTTCCATCAAGGTATCTGTTTCTTCTATACCAAGAACATCTAAAGGAACACATCTGGAATAACAATGAGTTCGTGTAACAATACAAATATTTTCTGAAACAAATACAGATTATTGTCTTTATAGGGCCGTTTCAGTAAATCATCTTGCCAAATTTAATTTATAATTCGCAAAGACGTAATAGGCAAGAATGTTGAAGAAACCCTGTCAAGGATAGAAGGGATTTTTCTTGAGTCCTGCTGAGATCAGGTAGATTTTTTCCTGGAATACCACTTTAACAATATCAAAAATTCTAACAGGACAAAAATCAGAATGTGAAAATAACACCACCGACTAAAGGACTAATAACCAGAAGGAAAAATCAAATTGTCAGTACTATAAACTTGGAAGTCTAAGCAATATACTAGTGTTCAAATTCCTAGATACATCAGTCACGAAAGTTTGATTGATTGAAGTACTTTTTTATCTACCATTCTTCTTAACCACATGCTGATTTTGGTAGTTGGGAGGTTAAGACTTCCTAATCTTTATTGAGGTGAATCATGCATAAAGCTACACAAATAGTTAACTTTTGTAACTTACAGGTTTTCTGTGATATCAGGTTCAACTCCCTCTGGAAAGATGATGTCTACAACAAAATAAAAAGTCTATACTACAAATTCAGTGAATATCTAAATTTTGAAACATATTCACATGCTCATCAACAAACATGTGAAATTTCATGAGAATCCAACTGGTTGTTTCTGAAATTAGCTGCCGAAACTTTTTGGCAGAATAATAATAAAGCATTAAATGGCTTCCAGTCGGCATTACTCAACAATATGAATGCCAACTGGACAATGGCAAATTCAATTAAGCAGACTAGCACTCAAATACTTTCGAGTATTTACAAATTTAAGAATCACAAAGGCATTTGTACCTTTTATATCCAATTCCTCTAATCTTTTGTTTTTGAACTTTGACATGAGATTCAGATCCTGAACCATGAGAATCTTGCTGATTTGTGTTCTCTCAAGTAACCCTGACATCTGGCGGTAGTGCTCTTTGTGGACTTGCTTAGTGTGTCCCAAATGGTTATACATCCATTCCATCTGGTGTTTATCAAGATTCAGCATCTATGGAAGATAAACCATTATACATATATTTACTGTCATAATATGCATCATGTCACTTACAACTAATGGTGGTTTTCATCAAAGAATATTCACTTCTTAATATCTCAAGCAACAACTAATAAGACTTTTCCACGCTTGAACTTGAACAAACATGCAGCAGAGCAGATCAACAGAGTTGAACTATTGTAATGCTATCTCTAGTTAACTATGTAATAGCTATATAAAAATAAATAGTTTTTCATTTGAAAAACTGTGTTTGAAGGCAGTATTGCTGTATGATACTTGCTCCTTGTTGGTACAGCAGTTTTACATCAGAAATGATTATATATCATACCTGGGTTAGTGTTGCTGTATATTTCCTCATTGACACTGATGTTATTCTGTGTGGGGCTTCAAGATGCAATCTGTTACACACAGATTTAAGGGACTCGTAACTTTTTGCATAATAGTTGGCTGGAAAACAAATAAAACGAAAAAGAGTAAGTTTGATTTGCAATAAAGGATATAGGATTTTTTCCCTGTCCTTTCTCTTATTTCATGTATCCATCATTTGAAACCATATTGACAGGTATATGATATAAAATGTGAAAAATAATTTGTTGTTCAACCAATCAAAATCGAAAACATATGATAATAGAAATATTTACCTACACTTTATTATACACATATCAGAAGGGTCCATTTTTATTACATTTTCACTCGTGAAATATCAGAAATTATCAGTGTGATAATTAGAGATTATCATATGACCATTTTAATATCACACCCCTTATCAGCCCGAGAGTCCTGATATCAGGCAGAGGGCCGGAGGCCAAAGGGCTGATATCAGGACTCAAGGGCTGATTAGGGGTGTGATATCAAAATGGTCATATCATAAACTTTTTATGTTTTTTCTTTTAAGATAAACAAAACATACATAATACAGTTATTTCTTTTAAATATATTATTTAATTAAAACTATAACAACAACAGAAAAGAGCAAAAAACGGTATATTTGTGTTGAGTAGTGCATTTGAAATGTTTGCCAGTCTTGTTATCAAGCGCGACGTCATTAAAATCTAGCATCAACTATGCCCGCCTTATTTTGAGACTCAAATATTTCCGTCATTTTATGTTTTAAAATGTAATAAACAGAAAATTTAATGGTTTTCCTGTTCGATACCATATATATTTCACCCGTATGGGGGAATATACCGATATTTTCACTCGTCCATGATTGTGGGTTAGTGATAAACAATGAATTTTCCCATCTAGCCGCCACACCTGATGGTAAAGTATGTGACAAAGGGGAGACTGGTATTGTGGAAATAAAATGTCCCTTTGTAGCAAGGCAGATGAGTATTAATGAAGCTTGCAATGTGATCCAGAATGTTGTACCTAGTTATGAAAACAATGTTGTAAAAATGAACAGAAAACACAACTACTATGTTCAAATACAGAGACAACTGCTTAACTGCTAGTCACAGGTGCTCCATGCTGTGACCTTGTTGTGTTCACAACGAAAGAACTGTTTGTAGAGAGAATTTATCCTGATATTCCATGTATGACCAAAATATTACCTCAAAAGATAAGGTATACCATATATAGCTTTACCTAAATCACACCAACTGAGCAAACCCAATAATAATTTACACACATACTTTGATATTGCCACAATTTCACATTATAACTTGAAGCCTTTAAAATATATTGGTTTGCTATTCCTAGTCTCTAAAAATTGTATAAATTGATAATAGTTATACATTTATACAGTGAAACCTGTCTAACCTGACATTCACTGGGGCATAGCATACTGGTAAGATTACATAAAAATAGTCTGTCAATAGTCTAAATACACAGGTCATATACTATTATTTTCATAACACAAGGGATTACAGCATTATGTGTAAAGTGTCTGGATAATCAGGGGTTGGACGAGACAGGCTTCACTGTATTTTATTCCAGTTAAAACTGGTATTAAATATTTAATGAAAACCAATACAATTGAAATTGTACACAACAATACCATAAGTGTTCTAGGACTATGTACATATATGGAGACAACATGCCAAATGAGTTTGATGTATAGTGCATAGTTCAGTTTCTGGTTTTATAGATAAAATGATATTTTGGTATCTTTCCATTTTCAAAATTTATCTTAGCTTTATACTAAAGCATATCTATACCTTGGACATCAGTTCGTACAAGATAATGTTCTTGCTGTGGTGCTGCTACATGACCAGTACTGTCTTGAGTGTTAACTCGGACTGAAGTGGGCTGGGGATCCTCCATATCATTGTTCAGTTCAGTGTTGTGTCTTGACAATAAAGAAATGAAGATTTATTTTATTATGGGTTTTCAAGACTTAACAATTGAGGTGTAACCATAATTATTTACAATATGATCTCAATGTATTCCTCTTTTGATATAGCACCGGAGGCCAAAGGGCTGATATCAGGACTCAAGGGCTGATTAGGGGTGTGATATCAAAATGGTCATATCATAAACTTTTTATGTTTTTTCTTTTAAGATAAACAAAACATACATAATACAGTTATTTCTTTTAAATATATTATTTAATTAAAACTATAACAACAACAGAAAAGAGCAAAAAACGGTATATTTGTGTTGAGTAGTGCATTTGAAATGTTTGCCAGTCTTGTTATCAAGCGCGACGTCATTAAAATCTAGCATCAACTATGCCCGCCTTATTTTGAGACTCAAATATTTCCGTCATTTTATGTTTTAAAATGTAATAAACAGAAAATTTAATGGTTTTCCTGTTCGATACCATATATATTTCACCCGTATGGGGGAATATACCGATATTTTCACTCGTCCATGATTGTGGGTTAGTGATAAACAATGAATTTTCCCATCTAGCCGCCACACCTGATGGTAAAGTATGTGACAAAGGGGAGACTGGTATTGTGGAAATAAAATGTCCCTTTGTAGCAAGGCAGATGAGTATTAATGAAGCTTGCAATGTGATCCAGAATGTTGTACCTAGTTATGAAAACAATGTTGTAAAAATGAACAGAAAACACAACTACTATGTTCAAATACAGAGACAACTGCTTAACTGCTAGTCACAGGTGCTCCATGCTGTGACCTTGTTGTGTTCACAACGAAAGAACTGTTTGTAGAGAGAATTTATCCTGATATTCCATGTATGACCAAAATATTACCTCAAAAGATAAGGTATACCATATATAGCTTTACCTAAATCACACCAACTGAGCAAACCCAATAATAATTTACACACATACTTTGATATTGCCACAATTTCACATTATAACTTGAAGCCTTTAAAATATATTGGTTTGCTATTCCTAGTCTCTAAAAATTGTATAAATTGATAATAGTTATACATTTATACAGTGAAACCTGTCTAACCTGACATTCACTGGGGCATAGCATACTGGTAAGATTACATAAAAATAGTCTGTCAATAGTCTAAATACACAGGTCATATACTATTATTTTCATAACACAAGGGATTACAGCATTATGTGTAAAGTGTCTGGATAATCAGGGGTTGGACGAGACAGGCTTCACTGTATTTTATTCCAGTTAAAACTGGTATTAAATATTTAATGAAAACCAATACAATTGAAATTGTACACAACAATACCATAAGTGTTCTAGGACTATGTACATATATGGAGACAACATGCCAAATGAGTTTGATGTATAGTGCATAGTTCAGTTTCTGGTTTTATAGATAAAATGATATTTTGGTATCTTTCCATTTTCAAAATTTATCTTAGCTTTATACTAAAGCATATCTATACCTTGGACATCAGTTCGTACAAGATAATGTTCTTGCTGTGGTGCTGCTACATGACCAGTACTGTCTTGAGTGTTAACTCGGACTGAAGTGGGCTGGGGATCCTCCATATCATTGTTCAGTTCAGTGTTGTGTCTTGACAATAAAGAAATGAAGATTTATTTTATTATGGGTTTTCAAGACTTAACAATTGAGGTGTAACCATAATTATTTACAATATGATCTCAATGTATTCCTCTTTTGATATAGCACAACATTAAGACATGGAAAATGGGTTGAAAAAACGTTGAAAAAACCACCAAAGACTCATTGGTTAGAAACTAGAAAGGGATACATCTTTCAATAAAATAAATCACTTACAGTATAACTACATGCCCTGGATTAATTCATATAAAAAAATCTTACTTTAGAATGTCTATTTCAATTTGTATGTATGCATACTTGACATTTTGGGAATAACAATTTGTTTATCAAAATGTTTAAACACCAAGGTATTAAAGAAGTTAATTGAGTATAGCTTATCTGATTCACTGCAACATATTTCCTGTCAGGACAATACTTTCTACTGGAAAATGTATAGCACTGAAAAACTGACCATGATTGCTAAAGTCTAACGGTAAACAGTAAACAAGTATCTTCTACTTTCATTTTGTTGACATAGGGGCATGTAATACAGCTGTAATGTAAACAACTAATGGGTCAACAAAATGTTGGTTTTATTAAGATTAAAGATAATAAGTGATATGTGTTTGCTGCTTGCACACCCGCAACTCTTTATATGCGTATGAATTAAACCAGCAGAACACAAGACATCAAAATAAGAAATGATGATTCCGCTGTGCATGCCCCTGTGTTGGACGGACAGCTCTTATGTTTACACAGTGTCATAACAAGTTTTGCTCCAGATATTAAAAACATATGAATGAAATTGAGGATTATGTGAGTATTGCCTGTTTGGTCAACCATATACTCTGCTTTACTACATTATATTTTCTAATATCGGGATATAAACATACCTTTGAACAAACGAACTTGTGTCTATCTATATTTGTTGCGTTAAGCTGCGAATGGGGTCGTCCACAAGCCTTCACCCATCTCAGGCATGTTTCTAGGTTGGTTTTAGGGTTTTGGAAAGGTAATTAATGTCATAAGTTGTCGGAGGTAATGGCCGACAATCGAACTCGCGCTCTGATTGGCTGAATTTGTATAGTAACCGCGTTGCTAACAACGATGTGGAAGGGTGAATTAGTGACCATATAATTTAATAATTTGACAACATAACATAATATGATAACCATATAAAATAACAATTTGACAATATAACATGTTGGGGACCATATGGAATGTGTATCTGTCTTTATGACATTGAATAGTAGCAACGTAATATACTGTCTGTAGTTTTAAGGCAGCTCTGGCGTTTCCATAGACGTAAACCTTGTTTTGTTATTTTTACCTGCCTACGATAATGATAGCACTCGGTACAATCGGTTGACTGAAGTAGGCGGACAAATGTTTAAATTACAATCTGATCCAAGACTTTGCAAATCACTAACACTTGGAGAGTTCGTCAAGGCCTTTTCTATATATCGTAACATTATGTATGAACATTACCCTAATCGTCGCCAAGAATTGGATTTATACGAACGTGATATTGTAGA